TTAAATCACTGCTGATACGTCGCTGCTCGAGAAAGAAAAACATTCTCTCGTGCATTTACATATTCGCAGATCATTCGTTTATCAACGCTCCAGATGTTCCGCACAAAGATAAAAGCTGAGAAGGAGAAAAAACGTAAGAGGAAAAAAAATATCAGAAGGACGAAAACGAGAGCGGTTGAAGTTTCTCCGACCCAGATTTTCGCTTTGCCATAATCACGACACGTTAAATGGTAGAAGTAAATAAAAAAAATCCCGGACGCGACCGACGCATCTGCCAACGACGCGCGAGCGCAGCTGCACCTGTGCGACGCCCGATACATTTTCCCATTAATTAAGCAGATATGAGCAATTTGCCAAATCACGTAACGTCGTCGTCCCAGTGGGCCCTCCAATCTCTGAAGTTCAGCTGGCGCTACGTCGCGCACCGGCGGACTTTCGATTTTCTTTCGAACCTCTCACACGCGCCGTTCATACAAAACGAAACGTATACTTAATATAAATCTGTTCTTAATATGTGCTCTCACGGCCTGAATTCTAATTGCTCGGAGTCACCTGCGACTGTTTGACCGCGATAATAAGCAGGAATAAGATATACGAGTTACAGTGTCTTGTCACAAAAAAATCTTGTTAATAACGTTTTCTCATTCCCCTTCGTTTGTCTTTAGTGTCATTTATATGATTATACGCGGAAAGAGAATTTTATTGACGGACTGTAAGTGCAATGGACAAAAATTATAGTACTACTTATATAGAGAAACAATACATAAATTTTTCTGGCAATTATTCGTTATTAACAATATTTCAGATTTCAATGAAAACACAGGTTTGAAAACATTCAATTACGCCTATATATTATATTATACTATAAAAAACATTCTTATGAAACTTTTAGATTTCTTTCCTCATAAGATATAGAAAGGATTAAATAAACTTTGTCTCTACGTTTATACGATAATAACTATCTGCTGCTCAGAAAATTGATTCAGATGTGATTTGAAATGGGAAATTTATCTGCAAAATAGGCGCGCGGGCCTAATAAAAAAAAAAACTCGATTTTGCATATCTCCAAGTTGCTACAAAGCGCAATCGCACGATGGCCGCCAGAAAGCCATTGGGTTTATGCGGGCCGCGGGCCAGATTATTCCGGCCGTGGAACATGATATCCTTTATGCAAATTTGGTAGATGCGTGAGTGCGTGCGTGCATGCGTGCGTGTGCGCGCGCGCAAGATCCGTGTGGCAGAACGACATTGTGCAACCCGATTAAAACCGATAAAAAAAGTCAATTAAGTAACGCGAGCGACTAAAGCCAAGCGCGAACGCAATTACGCCGAGAAATCTCTTCGCGATCCCGACGTCGCGATAAATTAAAAAACGCCGGCTGTGAACATTGTCTGCGAATACGATTGTAAATAGTATTTGGGTCGCGCGGCGGTAATTTTTGCGTCATATAAATAAACCAAAGAAATCTCAACGAAAATAATTGCATCTTGCAATTTTATCAAATCGAATTATCGTAAGAAATGAAATTATTTTATATATGAAATTAGAGCTGTTCTGATTATACAAGCTTTTCCGAATGTAATATCTATACATTACTTCTATTAAATTTTGTCTACACTGACAAAAAAAATATTTTAATAAATGCTTAGTTGAATACGACTGTCAACTAAATATTTATTAAATGTAAAGATATATTTAATACAATAACTATTAATTTGATTTAACAATCGTCCTTTTTAATGAACAAATATTTATTTACTGTAAGTAAATTTTTATTTAGTTGGCAGTATTAAATTAAATATTTATTAAAATTAATTATATTTTTTTCTGTATTATATTGTATTTAAAAAACTTCAAATTCGCGTAACTAGAAAAAATAATATATCTATTATTATTTTTTGTATCATAAAGAAGTTGCATAATTGCTGAATTATTGTAAAAAGTGGTTATCTCAATTATATAAACGTAACAAAAATATTCTTGTTGAGATGAAAATTAAGCGGGAATAGAGAGAGAGAGAGAGAGAATATAAAAAGGAAAAAAAATGAAGTAATAATAAGGTATAATTTGGAAAAGATAATTATGGCTACTAAAAAAAGAGATAATTGTAGAAATTAAAATAAAACATTAACCGAGGAGGTAACCACTAGCTGAAATATGATCCCACAGATTACATGATTTCATATGATTTCATCTGATTACAAATAACTTTTTTCACTACATATGAAATAATTTGGTAAAATATACGATGTTATTTAATATTATACAATGATTTCTCGTGGTTGCACGTGGTTGTATGTAATTATCGGATTATACATAGAGATTTTATATGAATTTTATAATGATTTCGAGAACTCTGTCCCGCGATTACATTAAGTGGTTACCCCCTCAATATTAACGGTAAAGAACATTGACTGTCACGACAATTAAGCTTGAGATTGAACATCTCTTTCTCTTTTCCAGAATATAACCGGATTCGATTCGCGGAATTCGGGTGACCGATTAAAAACATCGACCTCGAGGATCGTCCCTGGTTCGCACAGGTGTGGCTCTGCCACACGACTTAATGAAAAGTATACGCAGTATCACACGCACGTAATATGCATGCAGCTATGATTAGTATCGATGCGGAGCGAAAAAAATTCATTAGCATGAATACGACTGTCCTTCGCGATTATATCAATTGATTTCATTTATCCGCATCCCTTCGTTCGTTTTTCGACACAAGACCACTTTCGGTTTTGTCTCTCATGAGATCTCGGGGACTTTCTCGCGACGAAACAGCTACGATTATGTAACCGCATGGTGAAAATTATATACTAAGATTTATGTGATTGAAACATGTTATTTAGACGATCAAGGATTGACGATTTGCAATGCTAATCAGATTAATGCGGACAATTTCATCGATTAACTTCCTCGAACATGATCAGAGAAACTTTTACTTCCTTCAATCATGATTTACTTGATGCATAATTACGCAGATATTGACTTCTTCACTGATATATGATCTTTTTACTGATTATAAATACACATATTAATGACTTCTTATTGTTCAATAATAAAAATATGTTTGTCTCCCAAAACATCATTTAAGATATATTGATTTCGTTGCTTTTAGTTAAGATTATTCTTAATAAAAAAAATATCCAAATATATTTTTATGTGTCATAAACTTATGTGGCAACTGTTTACGCAATCTGATTAATGAACGACTAAACATTATCAGCAAAAAATGTCATACGATTACTTCGATTTACCCAGCATTACGAAATGAGTGTTGGAATTACATCACGTTGTGCTTACAAATCAAGTCGACGAGGTGACAGAGATCGAATGAAAAATTAACTAACCCTGCGGCATTAACTAACCCTTAATAAAAGGACATTAATTCATGGGGTAAGTGGGTTCCGTTTGCGCACGCTCATGCGTGAAGGCATTAAACCACGAGATTAATAATCGGTATTCACGGTCATCGCACGCAACCTGAAATAACCGAACTTGTATATTACAGCTAGCGACTAATGCGCTTAACAAGTATTTCTATAATTAGCGTGATAACATCGGCGCGCAAGTATCACCAGTTATAAGTCGAAAAAAAGGAAAAAAGACAAACAAGAAGTGAAACCTGTGGTGAATTTCTTTTCCAATTTTATCGTGCAGTCGAATCATGCAAGTTAATTATTTGAACAAGTTTGTAATGATGGTGGGAAGATCATATATGAGAAAACTTACCGAATTTCCGTACATACAGAAATATATATGTATATACAGATGATCTGCAATTAGCATATAAAATACTAAATACAATAATATACATATAGTTGCTTTAAAAAAATATGTAGGTAAAATGGATAATATTTTAAATAGATACCTATGTGTTTTCTTTACACCAATTAATTAATCTTATTATTTTGTTCATAAAAGTATTAAGGTACAATTATCAAAAAGTTAATAGTTTACAAGATATTTAATATTTCATGTCAATACATGTCAGAATCAAGTATAAAATATCTCATATTGGTTTTTCTTGATATTTCTACCTTAATACTTTTATATGCAAAAAAATCAGAAGAATCATATTTCATGTAAAAATATAATTCCATTTAAAAGTGGTGATCTTCATATTTTTTTAGCGCCTCTATCCAGAAAAAAAGCAACGTGACAGAAAAAAATATGTCCCTCTCGGAACTGTTCCACTTTTGCTGAACGTTTTTCCGTATCTTTCATATTATTCAAAATATTTATCTGTTAAGATTAAAATAAATTGCCCTGTATAAAAAATTTTTATTGAAACCCTGATAATTAATCGTTTATAAGATTGGAAATATTATGATTGTTTTGTATCTCATAAAAAGATAAATTCAAAAGATCTAAAAATTTTGAAAAATATCTATGCAAATCGAGAGTACTATAATAAACAATTTTTGTCTCTTGCAGTTTTTCTGTATAATTAATAGTATTTGAGTAAAAAATTATTGAAGATTAATTTTCGACAATTTTTAATAATTAATATCTTGTTAATTATTGCGAAAATTACAAAATATAAAGGACTTTCGACTCAGTTTAGTCCGCCCAGTTCTACCTGCCCATGAAATATTTGGTGATTATTTTGGGACACCCATATAATGATAATTCGATAATGGACTTTGGTTCCACCTCCCCAGCTCTGAAAACAATTGTCACCTCAACTTAAAACTTTTCTGTGATTAATAAAAAAAATCTCATTATAAGGTACCATTGAATACAGAATTGAATTCAGTCGCAAAATCGAGGACCCCAAAACGAGAGATTTTTGGAGTCACTCTTTATAGTTTCCTCCGATTGTACACATCATATCTATACACTGTTAAAAAAAAATTTGCTTCCATTACATTTGCTTCCATTACGAAATTAACTATTTGCATCGACAAATCGCTCGGTGACCTCGTCGAATATTTCACCGAAAAACGCATTCTAGTCATTCCAGAGCCTCCTTCGTTATTCGGCCTCGGCAGTCGGCATTCGCCACGCATTTGTCAGGCTCGTCCTCCGCGATAACCTTCGCGAGAACTCGCCAAATCTGAGAAGAAATCGCGGCGAACCGTTAATAACCGACGCAGAATAGAAATCAAAGGCACCCTCGGGTCATCCGTATGAATGCAACGGACTTACGTTTAAAAGCATGGACGCCTGCAGTACCGCGCAAGATACCGGACAACATTGTGTCCTCAAGCTATACGACAACGAGAGCATTCGTGCCGTCCTACGAAAAGTATAAGAATTATAATTATTACACTTATAATGGCGACCAGAAGAATCGAAAAATTGTCAACTTGAAATCGTATTTTTTTTTTATATAAATGATATAGACAATATATTTAAAATCATATGAGATGGACAATTTATTATTATATTTATATATATTCTGTATGATTTTTGTATTGATTTTTGTATTGATTTTTATATAATTTTAATTTTAATTTTACGTACATTAAATGAAACACACTATATTAATGTAATACTGTTATAAATAATATTTTTACTTGCAATTTGCGTGCAATATAGAGAAAAAGAACCTCGCATAGAACAACTACTCTCGAATGAATATCAACGAATTTGGTGGCAGGAAAAACTAGCTTGGGATAAGACTGTAACTGCTAAAAAAATTGCAAGCAAAAAAATATTACCCCGTAAGGTAAATAATTATTATAAAATTATCGATGGTGTGATTATTAAATTAGAAGTTTATACAGATGATTAAGAGAAAAGTACCAACATGTGTGACTGTTAAATATCCAACAAGAGAAGAGAGATTGAAAGATAAAAAGAGAAAAGAGTTTAAGAAGAAATCTAACGAGAATCTTAAAACTGAAGAGACGATATTCGCAAAACATAGCGATACAAAATTTAAAAAACGCAAAGAGATGAAATTCAAGAAACAGGAGGAAACAAAATCAAAGAATTGTGAAGAAATAAAATCAGAGAGTTGTGAAGAAACAAAATCAGAGAATTGTGAAGAAACTAAGTCACAGAATCGTGAAGAAAAAAACACAGAGAATCGTGAAGAAGCAAAGTCACAGAATCTTGAAGAAACAAAAACAGAGAATCGTGAAGAAATAAAATCAGAAAAGTCCGAGAAAGAGAATCCTCAAGCAGAATACAAAGAAACGAAATCAGAACAAGTCGAGGAAGCGAAATCAGAAGAAGGCGAAGAAACGAAATCAGAAAATTATAAGGAAACTAAATCAGAAAAATGCGAAGAAACGAAATCAGAAGAACGTGAAGAAACAAAATCGGAAAAATATGCAGATGCAAAATCAGAAGAACGTGAAGAAACAAAATCAGAAAAAAATGCGGAAGCAAAATCGAAAGAGCGTGAAAAAACGCAATTAGAGAATAGCCAAGATACAAAAGGAGAAAAATACAAGGAAAAAAATTAAGAAACAAATAAATAAATTACATATATTATCTCTCACTTGACATATAAAATTAAAATTAAATTTAGAATATAATTTCTTCGGAATTATATATATATACATATATATAGATATATATATATACAATTTCTTGAAAAAATAAAAATATTCTGAAACAAAAAGTTAAAGATTTGTTAATGTAACTTGGCACAAAGCTCTATTAAATTTTTATATCTTTTTTTCTTTTCACATCTCTTTCGCAATTTAATTAAATTTAAATCTGTAATATTATTACTCTTATTCTTCCTTTTTATTTATAAGTACAGAAGATTCTTTATAGCTCTTCTTTTATTTTATCTATCGATAAAATAAACACTATTAAGTATTAGTAATCGATCATACAGACTCAACATTTTTTTATTAAAATATAAATATAGAAAAGTAAAATTTAACATTCTGCAGCATCAGTTTTCTTAATTAATAGAAAATACATTAACATATAATGTACTGATAAAATGTACTTTGATAAGAACTGGTATTCTAAATATAATCCAATCGTATCAGAAACAGAGACATTCTAGTGTTTAATTTTTAAAATTCCATGGCGCGCTGGTAACATTTTTGCAATTTTTTAATTTCTTTTGTCATAAACATAACTTTTTAAATTTATACTTTAAGAAAAATCCTTTTTTTTATAAAAAAGAAACAGTTTAAACATCAGATTTATTCTTCCTATTCTGTCAGAGAAAAGAGTTTATGAAAGATAATATTAACAAAAAATTTAGAACTAAAAAAAATTAGAATTGAAAAATCTAACAATAATGTAGAGCTCTCGATATTATTTTTTTATTGTTATTATCCAGACCAGAAAATCTACCAATAATGATGCTTATGGCGCCATCTAACCTACAAAATTAACATAATCTTTACATCTATCGATACAAAACTTGTAATACCGGTCGATACAGCTGATTACCATGTCGTCGATAAGCCTCAAAACTTGCTTCGAAATGTCCGAAACGTAACGGCGGAGTATCTTCCTCGAAGTTACGTTAACTCTACCTACATGATTATCGCACGTGTAGAACACTGCGAAGGTATTTATAACCTCAAATACATTTTCCTGAACAGAGCTACTTTACGCACGCTCTGATTTGTAACGATTTTTTAAAATAATTTTATTTAATTTAAAATATTTTTTTAGTGTCTAATTTTCTAACCTAAAAATCTGTACGATATTTCCGAGCTTCTTAATTTATGGCTCACGTCTCCAAACAGTAAATAGGAGGTCGATACGGCCAGATATTTCCGAGCTGAATGAATCACAATTGATTATAATGCGAAATACATTCGCGGCTAAATTGCTTATGCACAGAATTCACCTAATTTCACCGATCCTTACGTCGTATCGCAGTAAGCACTTTCAAGCGAAACGGATACTAAAGATGAACGAGGCATTTCTCCGCTACGATAAAGGCAACGATATGTTTGACATCTCGTTTCGCTATGTGGATGAGATAATGAAGATCGACCGTCAGTTCAACTTTTCCAGACAGACCACGGAGAGTGTGAGCAATTTCCTCAAAAGGGTCGACACAAACGTTTGTAAGATTGTAAACAAAAAGGTGAGTTTCCTTTTTGTCTTTTTTTCCTTTTCCTTGTTATTAGATTTCCATTTATCGTTACATTTTATATTGTATTATTTTTAATGTATAATAACTATAAGTATATACTACAAAAAAAAGAATTTTTCTAAAAAAAATTAAAATACAAAATAGAATTTTTTATATAAATTGTGAACAAATTAGATATTGAAATCTGAAGAATTAATATTCTACAGACAAACTTTAAAATAAAAAATATCTAAGAGAGAAATAAAAATTTTTTTCTTTAGATAGAAAAAAGAAAGAAAAAAAATACTGCTTATGAGGTATCTGATTTGACAAAAGACAATGTGAATACTGGAAAGATCATGCTTCTCAGAAATGATGTCGAAGTGGATGGTGATACATTGTGTGAAAGCCTTTTACAGGATTCTGCAGAAATAAAACTGGTCATTTTCGAGAAGACCTTCTTAGTGAAACGAAATGCACCTTATATCACCAAAATTTCGTTACCATCGTGCATATTGGCAGGTTTTCTGACTTATCCATCCAAGTTTGAGTCACTGTATACTGACACGAAGCGATCGATATTTGACTGGTATAGAAATGATCCTATTAACAAACCAAACTCGTGGACACATGTAGGCAATGGATATCTATATGTACCCAGCGTGACTGATATTGGTTGCCATTTGAAAATTAGCTGTGAACCTCGGAATGACTCAGATTCAGGTTCTAGGATGGAGATACAGTCAAAAAATGTCGTGGAAGCCGGTCCTGGAGAATGTCCTTTCGATACTCGACATCAGTTTACGAAACATAAATTATCGGGTAGGAGGTACGGTACTCATAAAGATGATAAATTTGAAAGAATAAAGTATTGGAAGGATCTTTATTATATATAATATAATATTTATTAATATGACGTATACTAAATGTGTTTTACTTGCAAACTGTATATTAAACAAGGAAAAAAAGTTTCAGAGTAATAAGTTATAATATATTGGCAGATACATATGCCGATACTGATTTTTCTAAAGATGTATTATTCCCATACTGTCCACAGTATGCGTTAGATATGGATTACAGAAAGCAGTTGATACTTAAAGAAATAATAGGTGAGTGATAAATATAATGTATATGATTTATTTGATAATAATAAAATAAATAATTAAATTTATATTAATAATTAAATATTGTTCAAAAAAATTTCCGAAATTTTTAAACATTAAAACAGAATGTTATTAGATTATCGAATGAAGCAATAGCAACAATTTATAATCATTTTCGTAATTTTAATATCGATGATTTTATTGTAGGTTTTAATAGTGATATAATTTGCTTGCAAGAGGTAGATAAAAATATATTCGAATGTGATTTATTGCCTTCCCTGTATATGCTGAATTACGATGGTGTGTTCGTTACGAAGAATGAAGTTAATGAAGGACTCGCTACATTTTTCAATCAAGATAGATTCGAAAAATTAGGATTTGTACGCAGCATAATGGCTCAAAACGTTGATTTATCTAAATTTGCTGCCATCTGGTCTAAAATCGACAATGACAAAACGAAGGAGAGATTTTTGAGTAGAAATACAACCATTCAGGTAATTGCGTATGATATAATTAGCATTTTAAGTAGATATTATGTTATACTCATTGAATAAACGTTAACAATGATTTAGGTAACGACGTTACGATCGAAAGAGAACCGATCTGAAATCTTGATCATCGGCAACACGCATTTATACTTTAAACCTGATGCGGATCATATACGTTTGTTGCAAGGATATTATGCAATTACATACCTACACGATGTCGCGAAAAGGATACGAGAAGAGGTAGATACTTTCTCCAACAAAAACTTTTTACATTTATAGATATCTCCAAAAAAATATTTAAAAATATTTTGACACTTTCGCAAATCATCTTATAAAAAGTCTCTGTATTACTTATATTACAATTTATTAACAATTGCGTACGTTGACAGAATCCCGAATGTAACGTGAGCGTGATATTTTGCGGAGACTTTAACAGTGTGCCGGAATGTGGCATTTATCAATTGATAACGAAGAATTATGTTTCGGAAACCTGTGAAGACTGGAAAAGTAGTGAGTGATTTTCTTCAGTTTATTATCAGTTTATGAAAGCTTGTTTCTTTCTAATTTTGTTGCCTGCTTTATTTTATTATTTAACGTGATGCGACCAAAATGAGTACGTCTCGTGAAATGAGAAGAAAAATTGTGGTTTTTTTCAGATGCCGAGGAAGCTATAAAAAACATATCCTTAACGCAGGAGCTTTGCATGTCTAGCGCTTGCGGTATGCCGGAATATACAAACTATACGCCGGAATTCTCTGCCTGTCTAGACTACATATTTTATGAGAGAGACAAGTTTGAAGTGGAACAAGTGGTTCCGATGCCCAGTAAGGAAGAGCTTACTCTTCACACAGGTTTGCCGTCTGTGGTGTTTCCCAGTGATCATATATCTTTATGCGCTGATTTAAAATTGAAAGGATAATAAATTGTGAAAATTGCTAAATGGTACCTCTAATGTATCTCGTATATAATTAAATATGTAGTGATTAAATTTATCTACATTCACATATGTGAGAAAATACACAAACAAAAGTGTTTGTAGTCGCAAGTGTTTACGTAAATTTCTCTTCTCGTATCATGAAATTTATTATTTTTAAGCGCTATTTCGAGATTTGAAGTAATTCTACAATGTCTGAATTTATTCCGTCTTTCATTATTTAAAAATGAATATGTTTTCGTATATTGCCAGATTAATTTATACTGTATATCAAATATCTGCAGTTTTATAAAAAGAAAATTTCATTACAATATTTAGATTACTTCTTTTATCGTGTGTTATATATATTATATATGTATATATCAATATATACATATATATATTGTATATAAAATTGTAATGTCAGAAAATCATATAATCCTGAGAAATAGAAAAATAATAAAATAATTACATTTCCGCAATAAATACATTTACGTAATTTTGTAACTTTGTTCAGTTGACTAATATCAATTAACAAATAAAAAGTTGTTCCAAGATACGAAACAAATCATAAGAGATACTATTATTGATGAAAAGAAATATATTATACCAGAAATGCGCAAACCAAGTTTTTATAGTTTAAAACAAATCTTTCAAGTGCACATTATTTCATTTATGGTCATCAAAGTATACATCATATTTCAATAATACAGAAAAATGACGTCACTTATGTCTACAACTATAGAGTTAATTTACAAAACTTATATACAGATTAATTGTTACCTTCTTCGACGGCTCGGGTCGTAAAGGTCTGCAGATAATGAAGAATTTCAAATTTGAACCACAAATTTTCTATCTTAATATGCAAAATCGTTTCTCGTATCTTCTACTTAAAGAGAATAATCGA